CAAACATTTCTTTTCAAAATGTGGCAGAATATAATGATGTTATTTCTGATAGGGAAGTATAAAAACTCATGTTGGAAATCTAGTCAATGTGTGTAGAGTAGGGCATCTCTTCCAGCAGTATTAACCTGAGATTTCGTCCAAAGAAACTTGAGACTGAACAGGAGCGTCCTTCTAAGGATACAAACTGATCAGCATCACCTGCAGTCATCTGCATCTGTAGTTACGGCAGTTGAAGAGATGACAAGGTAAAAACCACATGTATTTGAAGCTAACTGGCCTTAGACTTTACAAATTTGTCTTCTGTTGGTAGAGTAGGAACCCTCTTGTCTGGGACCCTTAGTAGTTTGGTTCATCCAAAGTCACTTAAAGCGGGGTATCATAAAAAGTAAATCAACAGCCCTGGCCATTGTGGTTCAGTTGGTTGGAGCAATGTCCTGTGTACCAAAGTGTGCTGGATTCGATTCCAGGTCAAGGCACTACCCAGGTTGTGGGTTTGATCCCCTGTCAGACAGTGTGCAGGAGGCAACCGATCAATGCTTCTCTCTCCCTCTCCCTTCCTCTCTCTCTAAAATCAATTAAAAAAACAAAACAAAAAAACAGCCCAGCCAGTGTAGCTCAGTGGTTGAGTGTTGACCCATGCACCAAGAGGTCACCAGTTTGATTCCTGGTCAGGGCACATGCCCAGGTTGTGGGGCTGATCCCCAGTGGGGGGCGTGCAGGAGGCGGCCAGTCAGTGTTCTCTCTCATCCATGTTTCTATCTCACCCTCTCCTTTCCTTGCTTTCTAAAATTAATTTAAAAAAAATTTTTTAAACATGTCCTCAGGTGAGGATTAAAATAAAATGTTTTAAATAAATAACACATGTATTCTTAGATAATTCAACTTAAAATGTAAATATTCTTTATTTGCCAGTTATTTAATGTAGGAACTAGGCCTTTTCTACCTCTTCAGTATAAGTCTGCTTAGAGGTGTTTTCTATCTTTTTTGTACAAGTCACATGCATTACATTATGAGATGGAGACAGAATTCTTATAGATTTTTACTATATTTTTCCCCAAACTTTTAGAACTGTTTTGTCCCCAATTAACCAATACCTTATAAAACAAATACTTTTATCTAGTCTTTCTAGAATATTCAACTTGATTTTCACAGAAACTCCAACTCTTCACACTTATGTCATCAACGTATGTAATCATGATAAAAAGTTCAACTGGAATAATCAGTTTGCTTAGTAACCATTAGTTTCCTAGAGCTGCCATAACGTACCACCACTGACTGGGTGACTTAAAACAACAGAAATATGTTGTCTCACAGTTCTGGCTCTTGGAAGTCCAAAACCAAGGTGTTGGCAGGGCCATGCTCCCTCTGAAGGCTCTAGGGGTGAATCCTTCCAATCTTTTCTTGAATCTTCCAGGTTCTGGTTGTTCCGGGTCTTCCTTGGCATGTAGCAGTGGAAGTCCAGTCTCTGCCTTTCTGCATATGGTTATCTTTTCTGTGTCTCTGTTCTCCTCTGCCTCTTATATAAGGAAATTCTCATTTAGGGCTCACTCACATGCACTATGAGCTAATCTCAATGCCTAACTATATCTGCAAAGACACTATTTCCAAGTAGGATCACATTCTGAGCTTTTAAGTGGACATAAATTGTTGGGGAATATTCAGTAATATTCAGTACTAATAATAATATCCAACCCAGTAAAATAACAAAGTTAACTAACCCTTGGTAGACACAGTTTACAGCAAGTGGAAGTCTCAGTGCAGGGTGTGCCGGCCGGAAGCCCACCTAAAGGCCCACAGCTCTCCCTAGCCATCCGTCGGTTTGCTTCCCCAAGGACATGGAGAGCGTCAGTCCCAGTGAGTTGGCTGAATGGAGGTTACTCAAAACAGCTTCCACTTTTTCTCCTTCAAGCTTGTATAAATGTAGGTGTTACTGTGTATATATAAAAAGTTGATATGACCATTTATTTTATTTCTTTGGAAGTTAGGAATATTTTTATCTAATAAGGTTTTTTACTTTAAAAATCTAAATGAACAGAAGGCAAAACATCTGTCTCTTTTTTTTGTCTTAATTCACATTTATTTGAATAGCCTGAACTTTTAGAGTAATTGTGTTAGGTACTTCAATATGGCACTCAGAAGAATATGAGACAGAATCCTATTAAAGTAATATTTATATTTAAAATATCAATATCTAGATTATTTAGTCTATTAATCTACTTAACTTTGCCTTCATTATCTCTCTAGTCATTAGGGAAAAATCAAAAGTTACTGAAATTGAAACAAGCAATTTTGTACCTATTAGTGATTCTCGGAAAAGGATTTGTTGGTTGGGGATAGAAACCACTGGCTTAAAATCAGTAATGAGAACTCTCATTTTTAATTACCCTTATTATAATCCTTGCCCTCCATAATGGATAATTTTAATAATTTGCTGATATGTTTTTAAATCCTTGTTATAAGACCCAGTTGTAGTAAATTTGGCATGTAACCAAGATATAACTTAAATCAATTTAAATTTGGGGTCTCATACTTCTCCATATATAGTGACTGGTTATTAGCAAAGCCTCTTATTGGCTCCTCTGAAAGCTGAGCTGAATTTTGTCATTTAGCTTCCTCATAGCTACTCATGATCCATACCCTATATCTACTTATAATTTGCTTAAATATTTTCATCTTTCTCCTTCATTCTCAATGTGTAAAGGTTTTAAAGATGGACAGGATAGGAATTTAAGTGGTTAACTGGTTTTAGTCTCAAAAATACTTTCTTCAAACAAATAGATGGCCTGACTTTGAAGATTCCTATAACCCTATTAATTTGGGTTTGAGTTTTTTTTTTCCTTTTTTGTTGTTTGTTTGTCTGGTGTTTAGGGTCCTGTAAATCTGTCCATGTTAGATCTCTGATAGAATGTTAATGGAGATTGGGAACAAGAAAACCATTCATGTAAATAATTTGGCATGGTTTAGAAAATTTAAACTTCAACAAATGAGTAACCTTTTTTTTTTTCCACTTTAGCATCATTTTAAGAAATAAATACAAGTTGTCGTTTTTTTTAATACTCACCCGAGGATATTTTACATTTATCTTCAGACAGAGTGTTAGGGGGAGAAAGAGAGAGAGAAACATTGACATGAGAGAGACACATGGACTGGTTGCCACCCGCACAACCCTAACTGGGGCCAGAGACAAACTGCAACCGACTTACATGCCCTTGGCCGGAATCGAACCTGGGACTCTTTGGTCCACAGGCCAACACTCTGACCGCTGAGCCAAACTGGCCAAGGCTGAAGAAAGTTTTATTCCATTGTATTTGAAGCTTTTTTTTTTTTTGAAACCATGAGATATCTGCATTTGAGTAATTGAAAAAATGGAACCTATAGCACTTCAGATGAAGATCTGGCCACATTGCAATCTTTTATTGAGGTTAATCAGTGTTTCTTTAAATTTACATCAAAATCAGTATTATTTTTGCTTCATTATTTTGCTTTATTCTTAAGGAAGTTCTGAAGAGACTTCCTAATTTTTACCTAGGTTTTCAAATTCAATTTGGTTGAAGGCAAATATAGGAAACAAATTCTTAAATTTAAATTGGACTTCAAATTAGCCCACCTACACAAATAGGCCCACACTTCCAATCCCACATCCCTTCCTCACCCCACCCCCCCCAAAAACCTGGAAGAATATGTACCAAAATGTTAATAGTGGTGATCTGGACAGTGATTTTACCTTTGAGCATTCCTGTATGTTTTAAAATATCTACAGTGAACATTTATTATCAAGTTTTGTTATCAAGAGGAAAAAAAAGACAATTTTTAAAATAAAAACAAAAGTACTGTAAGCACTGGAAATACATATGAGGTCAAATTCATTACACACCTACCACTTGTGTTAGTCTGCTAAGGTTACCATAACAAAAGACCACCGACTGGGCGGCGTGTTTCCTCCCAGCCCTGGAGGCGGAAGGCTCTGGGTGTCACCAGGTTAGGTTTCTCCTGCGGCCTCTCCTTGGCTTACAGATGGCCCGCCCTCTCGCTGTGTCCTTACATTGTCTTTCCTCTGAGCTGTGTGTCCCTGGTATCTCTTCCTCTCGTCAGGGCACCAGTCACATTGGATGAGGGCCCCACCCCACGATTTCACTTAACCTTCATCACCTCCTTCAATGCACATCTCCAAATACAGCTGCACCGGGGGTAAGGCTTCAACATCAGCAGCAGACACAGTTCCGTCCCAACGCCGCCAGTTCCCAACTCCTCTAACACAGAAATGTCCACCTCTGAGTCCCACGTGAATTAGATTCAATGTGGAGACTTGAACAGCAAATAGGGGGGAGAGAGAAATGTTTCTCCATCCCTCTAGGTTCTTCCAACCGGTCTAATCAAATGAGCGTGAGCCACATAAACAAGAGAAGATAATCAAATGTAATTGCATGTGTATGTATGGGAATTCCACAAACATGACAGGTGCAGAAAGTTACCATGAGGTATATGTGACATTCTGGGCTCAGGCTGAGGTGAGGTAAGGCACATGGAGGCTTCAGAGGGGAGGGAAGTCTTTGCAGGACGAAAAGAAAATCAGATGTTCAGTAATTTGAAATTTGCCTGCCCTATAGATAGGTCATAAAAAGTTATTTCTTTCCAAGATATGCACAGTGATGACATTTCTGTGTCAAAGGGTCTTAAATGAAGTGGGAGGAAATGTGTAAGGTTTGTTTATGATTTAAGTGGAATGAAGTGGAGATAGTAAAGATTGTTAACTGACCAAAGGTTTGTAAAAACACTATTCTATGGAGTTTTGTGGATTTTCATCCTTAGTTTTTAATATTTATTTCTATGTTAGTTCTAATGAAATGAAATATCCTGTCAAAGATTTTAAGATGTTCTCCATGTTTACTATGTAGACCTGTCAGCTTTCTTGAAACATTAACATAAAAAAAAAGTTATTTCTGGTGATAACTCTTATTGTGGGCAAGGCCCCAAATTTAAATTCTTTATGGAGAGGTGAAGTTTCCCGTGAGCCTGCGGGATCGTGATGGCCTGCAGCTGGAGATAATGCACGTGCCGAAGCGACACACCTTGGCAAGGCCTGCTCTGCACACACAGTGCCCTGGAGAGGTACAACAGGGACGTGGGTAATTTAGGAGGAAGTTTAGGGAGTCGGAGGGGACAGGGCCATATTGCCTAAATAAGTACTTGACTGTTCTTGACCTGTTTTACATTTGCTTTCTCCGTGTGCTGTAATTACAGAAGCCTGACATTTTCTAGTGTTAGCTACACCTGCAGCATGAGCCGCTGTGCTGCACGTTAGATCACGTTGGTCAGCGCTAGGGCCCAGCCCCACCTGCAGGGCATCTGGTGAGAGGGTAGATGTGGCAGTGCCACCACAATGCCGTTTTTCTCCAAAGAGGTCCATTTGAGTGGCTGTCCATGTCCCAGCAGTTTAACCTGAAATTAAAACACACACACGTCTCCAAGTGTATCTCTGAAGGGGTGGTTGATATTTCTTAATAGCACCGTAGACAGAAGAGTCATTTTTTACTTTTATTTAGTAATTCACAAGCTGTTTTAACCCTTGATCAAAAAGCACATACATCCGTCTTGTTCCTATATTATTCTCAAATAAAAGTATGGAAGAGTCGGGGAAGAAGACTTGTAAAGGTTGAATAAAGTGTCAGAGAAGAGAAAAGCCAAAGAGAGGATCGGAGAAAATGACTCTGGAACCAGTCTGCACAAATTGAGTTCTTACACAGACGTTTGGAGAAAGGCTCCCCTCCCTGATCTAGCCAGGGTTCCTCCCAGATTTTCCAATGACCTCCACTAATCAACAATACTTAACTCTGATCAATAATTACTATAATTGTTTTATATCCTTAGTCTTACTCTAAGTAAATTTAAACAAATCATTTTCTACATATCTGCGGTTATTTAGAACCAGATAAACTGTGATTATCATGTACAGCATTATAAAAACAAAATCCATGGCCCAGCCGGTGTGGCTCAGTAGTTGAGCATTGACACCAAGAGGTCACTGGCTTGATACTCGGTCAGGGCACATGCCCAGGTTGTGGGCCAAATCCCCAGTGGGGAGCATGCAGGAGGCGGCCAAACGATATTCTTTTTCTCTCATCTATGTTTCTATCTCTCCCGCTCCCTTCTTCTCTCTCTAAAATCAATAAAGAAAAAAAATGTTTTAACCCATGAAGTTTGAAATAACAGTATTAATGAGGGCCAAAGAGAACACTGATAAAATAAAAACATAATGTCATACCCAGACCACTAAGCTATAAACATCAGATTTAAACTCCATCTTTGCTGCCTGATCAGCCATAAGCATTAAAAATGAAATATGAAAAGATGATGTAAGGAGACGCATATGGACAATTCACCTCCAAGGAAATGATCAATTTTTAAAATAAGCTACAAATATATAAAAATGAACTCAATACCTGACCTAGTGGTTATAACTGTTAGATTAACCGTAAACTTTCTCCAAAGTATTTTATAAACTTAAAATAGTAGGGTCAGGACTTCTTACATTCAAGTCTAACATGTTCTGGAGTGAATGTCAGAGGAAGAATACAAATTCCAGTTTTATGAAAATCATTTTGGATGCATACAATGAACTTGAATAATCAGAACAACTATGAAGAAGAATATTTTACATTGATATGCCTGGAGATAATGTACTAGTTTAATAAATTTAGTTTTCTAGGAAATGAAAGAATATCATCAAAGGTTCTGGCCAAACATTGCCATTGATGAAGCGCATTTGAAAATTACTATTATGGTCCTGGCTGGTTTGGCTCAGCAGTGAGAGTATTATTGGTCCACGGACCAAAGGGTCTTGGGTTTGATTCCCAGTCAAGGGCATGTGCCTGGATTTCAGGTTCAGTCCCCGGCCCTGGTCAGGTCTGGCCAGAGGCAACTAGCCAATGTGTCTCTCTCACATTGATGTTTTTCTCCCCCCACCCACCCTTCCACACTGTCTAAAAATCAATGGGAAAATATCCTTGGGTGAGAATTAACAAAAAAAATAATTAATTAAATTACTATGATGGGTAATAAGAAGAGCACGTATAAGTTAAAAGTTATGTTTTCATCAGGATATTCTAGTCAACAATTTAAAGGAACAATAAAGATAAAATTCCCTCTTACCTCTGTTGACCCCAAAATAGCTTTGGGTTGGCCAAGAAACAGCTGTCCAGATGTGGGCCATTTGAGAAACATAGCATAGACCGATTTTTCTTTAGGTTTGCATGTGTACCTGGTTAATGGCAGGGAGGGGGGAAGCACAGTAATATTTCTCATTATGGGTCAGCTCTGGAATTATTTACAGAGATATTTCCATTTGGTCAGTATTTACCAATGTCTTCGTTAATAGACGGAAGGAAAAATAGTCCCAAGGTAGTGTAAAAAGCACCCAAAAGGGTACTGATCCCAATTCCAAAGCAGGGGAGTGGGTTCCCCATACCACAAAGCAATTCTTAGATACCATCTCGGGGTCCTACTATTCAACTCAATTCTGACACAGTCTACCCAGAGATAGTGTCAGATTCCATAGGTTAAGAGGAGTTCTGGGGACAGTGACAGAAAACCAGGACCAAAATCTCAACGGATTTTAAGGATGGACCTGGGAGTCTGTTGTGGACAAAAAAAAGGTTCTACAGAAAGTCACCTCACAGGATGATCTGATCATAAATGCAGGCTGGTCCTGGTGGGTGTGGACGGGAGGTTTCCCTTGGCTGTAAGCAAGCCCTGTCCGTTGTTTTTGTACAGCTATTTTGTACATCTAGTTAGCACATCTTTGAAATAGACACAACCACCCTCAAGAGAGCACATAACCTTGGTGACCACCCTGCAATCCGACCCCCACCTCACTTTCTCCCACCTTACAGGCCCTCCTCAAGTTCGAACGTATAAAAGAAACCGCACACGTGTCCTTGGGGACCTTTGGGACCTCGCTTCCCAGCAGCTGTCAACAGCTACTGCTCGAGCAAACTCGCAGTATTCTCTACAGGGCTGCACGCCCCTCACGCCGACCCTGGAGCTGACCGCTGCAAGGAGGGAAAGCCCAGACGACGGACCCGGAGCGGAAGGGCTCGCTGGAGGGGACAGAGGGCCACGGAGGCAGGTGACACTGGCAGGCGCCAGACTCGGGGCCTTACAGGCCTTGCCAAATACCTTGGCTTTTATCTTTACTTATTTAGAGAAAGCTCCATGGAGTAATGGTTAATGATGGTGAAGCCCCAGGTCAGACACCCTTCTAATCAAATAGAAGCACAGAAAAAATCCCCAAACCAGATTCAAACCGACCTCTGTGAAAGGAGGCTGGGTACTGAGTTCATGTGGGACCGAAGTTCTTGAGTTTGACAGACAGTTGCCTCTGTCTACATTGCCTTAGTTTATTGTCTTCAATGAGCTGACAATATTTCTCCTCATAATTCAAGTGAAATCAAAAAAGGACATTTAGTCTAATCGTTTGATTTACACTTGAGCAGGCTGAACTCACTTTGGTAGCAGCACACGGTGAATTTTTAAAGCTTCACTCGTACTACCCTCATGTATATATAAGACCCCACAGCAGAAACCATCACACGGAGTCTGGTTCAGGTACTTACTGGCCCACAGAACCTTCCAAAGCTCAGACAGAAGCCTAAGGCAAGGCTTTTTTAAAAAAAATTAGCAAGTTAAGATCATTTTAAAGAAATTTCAGGTTTAGATTTACTTGACTACCAGGAACAAGTTATAATTTTTTAAATCAACTAAAACAAGGCTGTTATTGGGGCTGGTTTTTGGTATGTTTTTCTGCCCTTCACCTCTTGCTTGATGATTTGCTGTGGTTTGACATCTACGAAAGTTAGAATTTACTTACCTGACTGAACAGAAGTCTCTCTTTTGGATTAACCACTCAGGGTTTTTCACTCTTCTAAGTGGCTTATCATTTTTGTAAGAGTTGACTACTTTTCACTAAAATTTGTCCACCATTAGGAGGTATCTAGGGATGATTTACACTCAGTTTGCAATTTGCTAAACAGTAAATACTCAAAAACATGCTCGTGTCTTCCCGTTCCTTGTCTTTACAGTAAATAAAGTTTGGAAAGTGTTTTGTATAGACAGGCATTTGTCAAATTTCTTTTTCATCTTATTTTTCTCTCTATATCTCTGAAAAAATTTAAGTGGTTTCCTGTATCAAACAGCACTTGGTAAGAATAACTTACCACACATCTGGGGTGACTGTGTCATTCTGGGATCTCCAAGTGCTGGTTTCATAAATGGCTTCTCCATTGACTTTTAGCCAGGTCCCCATTTGCCTTAATCGCTCCTCAAAAATTGGAGAAATGGTGCCATCCTGAGTGGGTCCGATATTCATCAAAAGATTTCCTCCACATGAAACTGTTTCTACAAGTTGCTAAAAAAAAAGAAGAAATATAGTTCTTAGAGAGAGAAAACAATTCCATCATGAACGCATTAATAGTGTATCTATGAACTTATACATGCATATGTGGCCACTATCTAGGAGAACAGACATTGAAGACAGAAGTGTCCTGTGTTTACAGGCCATCGGGCTACAGAACAGTAAAAAATGATTCTCACACACCCACACAGTACGAATATTACCATAAGTGTTACTAGACATTTTACTCTACCTTCACCAATTCTTCAATTGTAAGATAGTCACAAATTGCCGCATTCCTCCTGTAGCCCCAGGAATACTTGTCTATTGTCATGCAGTTTTCCCATTTATGTGGCAAAAGATGTCCTGGGTTATAACGATCACTGCAGGTATAGTAGCCCCCATGTTTGCAGATGGTCCCAGCTCCCCAGCGGTCATTGGTGACTACCGTGTCCCGAACTGGGCTGAAATGAAAAGTATGCTTTTTATAAACAGAAAGTAAAAAATTTTAACACAAAAAGAAATGTCACTGAGAAAAGATTTACTGAAATCCACTCCTGAAAATTGCGTTCCTGTCTTTGTCACTTTCTAAACTCCCTGTCCTAGAGCAAGCTTCCTAGTTCCTCTGATAAACAATTTCCTTCACTCTTATTAGACAGAAAAACATATATGAAATACCTAGCCCAGTGCCCAGCACATATAGCACTTATAAGAGTATTATACTATTATTTGAAGCTTCCCCCCAATATTGTAAATGACACCCAAAATTGAATTTCCAATGAAGACATTCTCCTCACCAATGACTGAATGATCTCATACATACATTCTAGCCTTTTCTTTCTCTTACAATTTTGCCTAGTATTAAACTTTTTCAGGAAAGTGAACTGTTGCCATCATGAAATACACTGGTATGAAATATCCCTACAATATTATTTATCATAAGAGTTGGTACCTCCAGCACCCTTCTACTTAGAGGGGACGGTTTTGATTCACAATTAAAGTGGGTGGCTCCCAATCTTTCCCATTGGAAGGGGTACCTGAAGAAACTGCTGTTTTCAATGTCAAGAGCTGTCCAGAGTATTTGTATGTGCGCCCCTTGTGGGCTCAGGGAACACAGAACACTCCCTGACTTCATAACACAATACAAGTACCTTCTAGTTACAAATATAAACGTGTTCCATTTAGTTTAAGCCTGATAGAGGAGCTCAGGCTGGGACAGGCTGGAACATACTAAAAAGCAATGGGAAAGAACAGGAAGAGGTGAGGAAGATGAAGGAGATAAGGGGACAGATAAGGGGGGCACTGGGCAGCAAAGGTTACCCCAGGGTAAGAAGAAGCGATTAGAGGACTTGAAAAGCACATAAGCAGAAACAGTCATGGATAAGTCGGGTTGTCCCAGAATAGGAAGTGAAAATGGGAATCCACAAAAGTATTATCTTCAAAATTATGCATTCTGTGATTTTTTTTTAGTCTGATTTCAAAATCAGACTTTTGAGTTGTATTTCACTCCTGGTTTGTAAGTCTCAATTTTGAGTAAATACAGACATATCTAAAAAGCATTACTTATAATGATTCCCTCCCCCATACCATGCATGAGCCTGAAAGGAAGCATTTCAAGAAGCAAGGGAATGAAAACGTCACGCATCAGTCGGGAGGTCTAAGACCACCAAGAACGCAGCAGCATACACGCCTTTTGTTGTACAGCCAAGCCAAGAAGCCCGTGCTGTTCCAGTAGCCATCCGGCGCCCCCCCATCGCCATCCGACCACAGGACCTCCGGCCGGTACTTGTTCACCAACTCGTAGAGCTCAGGCAGCATCTTAGAAACTGGAAATTGTCGCTTCTGGAATGAGCTGGACTGGTCATCAAGGAAGAGCGGGTGAAACCACTCAAAAAGGGAATAGTAGAGTCCAAAACGCAGGTCAGTCCTGTTCCTCACGGCTCCCTCCAGCTCCTGGACCACATCCCTCTTCGGCCCCTCGTCTGCAGCGTTCCAGTTCCACGAGTGCGCGGAGCCCCACAGGGTGAAGCCTGCAGGCGGTTCAAAACCCGTGTGAGTATGTCCATTTTATTTTAGGTCAAGCTCCACCTACACAAACGCCAAAACATATTTGAGCATGCTCGTAACATGGAAATAACTGCTTCTGCAAACAACTCTTATGGCAATTTAGTTTTCATGGTATATATTCTGCTTTTATATGAACAACAAATGAGAGTTTAAACACGGTAAACTGAGGTTTTTAAAAGTAACTCTCAGGGCACTGACAAGGTCTGTAGAGTCTGATTGCCGTCTGTCTTTTCCCTCTTAGAACATAAGCTCCCTGAGGAAGAGCATCGTGTCTGCGTGTCCTCCGTGACGGCCCCCCTGCCGCAAGCCCTGGGTCTACATGACATCAGCAGTCAACATTCAAGGTCACAGCTAAGACTAAAGGTGAGTCCCTGCCTTTCGGATTATTTATTATAGTGTGATCCTTACAACGCTGGTGACCCATGTGCAGCAGTAAATCTTTTAGCCTCGTTATTTATTTTATGAGGGGGGTGGAGTAGGGGTGAGTAGTCTGGACTTTAAAATGCTTCACCCATCATCTGTAATCTCATCCTACTCTGAAGTCACAAACTGAGAGGTTGCTTCTTAAATTACCTGAAAGTGAATTATCTACCAACTAAATGGGTAAGAAAAATAATGTCTACCATCAAGCAAGCACTTTGAAATAATTCATATTTAAAAAGGAACTTGCATTTAAATGGACGGTGTTCCATCTAAAAATATTAGAAGCAAGCCCTGGCTGGTTTGGCTCAGCAGTCAGAGCGGAGAGGCCTGGGTTCTTTCCTGCTAAGGGCACGTACCTTGGTTGCAGTTTGTCCCCGGCCCCTGTGGGGTTGTGTGGCTGGCAGCCAGTCGATGTGTCTCTCTCACATCGATGTTTCTCTCTCTCTCTCCCTTCCTCTTTCCCTCCCACTCTATCTGAAGATAAATGCAAAAATGTCCTCAGGTGAAAATAAAATATATATATATATATATATATATATATATATATATATATATGGAGCAATATATAAGGTGAAATACTTAAGAAATCATATAAGAGTCTCAACATTTTCAGTTAGTGCCTAGGAACATAGGTACGTTGTTATCCCACTTACGTCTTATAAATTAGGGCAAGTCTAAGATGGACACACTCTTTAATTTCACTTTAAAGAAGCTTTTAAAAGAGCTCACCCTTGTTCCAAAGATGTTTGTGGTGAGCTTCAAAGCAGTGTGGATATTTTAAAGTCTTATCCAAAATGTGTCACCTTGACAGGCCCTAAGGACTAAAGCTGCATCTTCAGTTCCTACCACCACCAGCTCACATGGGTCTCCCTGCCTGACCCCACTCAGCAGGTCTTCTCCATAAGCAATGGAACAGATGACAACACAGGTCCAAGACAGTTTATAAATGTGAGCTTCATCGTCTGTCTCACAGAATGATTAAAAGTTGTTTTGTTTGTTTTTGTAACAAGCTCTCTGTAATACTTTGTGCCATACAGCTCAGAGAAGTTCCTAAAGCAAGGAAATCACACGTTCACAAATACACTTCATAAATATTCTTCTAGGCAGGGAAAACATCATTAGGATAAAATTATTAAGCCACTAGAATGTGGCCAAAGAGGAAATATTCTAAGAGAATTCTAGATTGGTGTTTGGGTTCTTCCCTCGAACTCTCCTCCCCTCCCCTTCCCTACAGAAAGCAATGAGCCAAAATGTCTTATACCAAGGCAAAGATGACCTCGCAGAGGAAACTGTCAAATGAATTAATAATTTACTGATGCTTCCTTGATCTTATAAATACTTGAATAGTAGTGGGTGGAAACAATCCTATCAATGTAGAACCACAGTGACACAGTGATGTGTCAACTTGACTGAGCCACAGGTGTCTCAGATATTTGGTTAAACATCATTCTAGGTGTGTCTAAGAGGGTATTTCTGCATGCGGTTTACATTTGAATAGACAGAATGAGTAAAGCACATTGCCCTCCCCAATCTGTTGAAGGCCTAAATAGAATACATAGCCGAGTTAAAAAGAATTATTTCTCTCTGCTTGTCTTTGAGCTGAGACATTGGTCTCCTCCACCTTTAGACCCAGACTTGGACTAGAACCTACATCATTAACTCTCCTGTTCTCAGGCCTTCGGACTCAGGCTGGAACTATACCATCAGCTCTCCTGGGTCTGGACCAGTCAGCCTCAACAACTGAGTGAGTCACTTTCTTATAATAAATCTCTGTATGTCTATTATACTTCCTGTTGGTTCTGTTTCTCCGGAGAACCCTGTCGAATACACCACTGTGTTTCCTTTTGGATATTCTTCCATCATCTCTGGTATTTCTGGGCACCATTATGGCTCCATAGTCCTTTTCCTTTCCGATAATCTGTGTCACTTTCATCACAGCAAACTGTCCACCATTCGGCCATATAAGAGTTGGCCAAAGTCACAGCTGTATGTGTCAGTAATGACACAAGACTAAAGAGGCATAACGCACATGGTGCCTTACCAGAATGCATGATAGAGGTGGAGCGAAAGGAAAGGAAGGAGCAGAATTCCAATGATAAACTTGGACCTGCAGCCCATATCCACTTCAGATAGCTTTCCTCAAATTTCGGAAATATAGCTAAATATGCATATAACAAAATGTGATCATTTTTCTTTTTCCTGTTATGTGGAAGGTATGATCTTTCTGCATACTTAATGCCTCTTAATTGAATGGAACACGTGGTCCCTTAAATCACAATCAAATGTCAGTAGCCAGTTATGGTTGATCCCAAGAGAAAACTCTGATCTCATGTGGATGATCTTGCTTTAGTTTCTTATTCCAAAAGAACTGCTTTACGTTTTGTAACTGTCATCCATGTTTGCAAATGTTACACTTACTTACCTTCGTGATGTTTGGAAGTTAAGACAACATATTTGGCACCAGATGCCTGAAAAATATCCGCCCACTGGTCTGCATTAAAAAACTTGGCTGTGAACAGTGGTCCAAAATCTTCATATTTGAAATCAGGAGGGTAATTATTTTTCATAAAGTCCACAAACTTTTGTATCTTTTCCTTTTGCCAATACCACCTAAGGGGAGGAACAGAAACAGCACATAAAACATATAAACATTGGAAATGATCAGACCAGCTCCCCTCACTCAAATAATACCCAGATTCACTTTCTCACCTCCCCTTTAGCTTGACTTTTCCTTAAAGAAAGTTTACGTAAACCAAAATCCCCCTTGTTTTCCACCTATCCCTCTGTGAAATCCAACTCAACTCATGAACTAGAACATTATAGACAACCCAGCTACCCATTGCCATTAATTCCCTACTTCTAGATCACAACATGTAGTATATATCTTTGCAACACACGTGAGGAGGCTTCGGAAGGAAAATACTGTGCCTAAAACAGAACATGGAGCCATGGCCTTCCCAGCAGAGAGCAGGTGGGGAGGCAGGCAGCAGCCAAACAAAGGAAATGCTGTTATTTTAATACTTTGACTCAACCATCAAGGGTTCCTCCTATGCATTTACTGTGAGTCATGGGACCTAAACTTCCTGAGAAAGGCTTCCTAGGGAGAACTGTAGCAAAAACAGAAGTATGCATTTTAGATAAACATCGCAGTAACCATCCTCATGAAATAGTCTCAAGCCCCATCTCTGACCCATTTTCTACTTTTTCCACCACCACCAGCCAGTCAAATACATAATTTCCCAGCTTCCATTGCAGCTTGGACATGGACATGCTATGCTGGTCAATGGAATTTAAGGGGAAGCCAACTTGGGAGATTCTGGGAAATAGTAAGAAGAGAAATTGGTCTTCCTGCCTTTGGACAAGGTTGTGTTAAGTTATGGCTGGCCACCAGCATGTGACCTTGAAGGAACAAGTCATCAGGCTGAGGATGGCAGAAAGAGCCTATGTCTTTGATTTTGTCAATGAGCCAACTACTTCTAATTCTCCTTATGTATGATAACAAGCCCCTACTATGACACATTTTATATACTTGAACTGAAAGTATCCTAATTGATACATGACACATTTTTACCTTTTAAATTGAACTGCAGAAGAGAAACTGGGACAGTCAGAAAGTTGAACAAGGATGAGGGATTTCTCCTATTTTCTCCTAGCACGATCTAATTTAACCTGCATTCTCTATATTGTCTAGAGGCGCTTCTCAAATGCCATACTAATTACACATGAAAAGAGGCACAGTCTATCATTTGTATTTGGTTTGGAATTGCCTTTAAGGACAGCCAGATATACTCATCGGTATTATTGACTGCTCATGAGTCAAGCTGGGAGGGGAGCAGAGGTTTAGAAAAGACATAGAGGGAAACCATGATAATTGAAGAATCTTCTACAGGGTTAATGAACTTCCAGGCCATCAGAAACATACTCTATGTTGTTTTCTTTGGGAAATATCTTTATTATTCTAAGTCACAACAAACAGCCGTGTTCATTTGTAGAAAACAAAACGTTTACCATTGCAAAGAATAAAATTAGGCAAAACTAGCTGTTTGTGGCAGAGTACTAGTCTCTATTAACAACCATCACATCCTCTTCCAGCACCAAATGTATAATTTACCTAATCATCATAATTGAGCAAAATAACTTAAAAGATAATGTATTATATTTAATAAAGGAGGAAGAAAACCTGCTAAATTTGGTACCTAGCTACTCTGAAACATTTAGAAAAGAACCTCCAAATGCCTTACAGCACAACACTTGCAAATGAGATTTATAGCATCCCTCGGTAAATATGTTTGGGAATGCATGGTATGGGAAGAAAGAAGCCCTTGCTTTACAAGTTGATTTACAAGAGTAAATGAATAGTACTTCATCCCTTACACAACTGGCCTAACTTAATAGAAAGATTACTGGTTGCAGAAAGTCATCTCTTTGTAGAAAATGGTACAATGTATACTATGCAATGTTAATACAATATAGAGTTTATACTATATACTACATATAGTATATATTAAATTTGATGTATGCAAATACAGTATAAAGTAGATTTAAATAAATACTCATTTTTATTTCACTTATGAATACATATGTGTGTGTGCACACATATATATTTGATTACATTTTTATCTTGAAGAATTTAACACCTGAAGAATGTAATCAGGAAAGGTATGTGAAACACTTGCAAGTTGTAAGAGATCACATGCACCGTTTTACGTGGGTTTTAAGGTAAAATCCAAAGGGTAATTTTTTTGTGTGCAACACCTTTCATATAGTAAGGTGGTTTTTGGTTGTTTTTGTTTGTTTTTTAAGTAATATTCTAGAACCCTTTTTTAAAAAATCCCTAGCGGCACACATGGTAACATTTCATCACTAAAGAGCCAGTGCATGCCCAAGTGAGCAGATGTTTCCTACACGGTGAATTTATGTTGTAACCATACTTCGTGGCAGAAGGAATGAAAAGGAGCAGGTAGCAGGTGGGACTTGGGCGTCTCCAGGGACAGTTTAGGCACAAGCTTCAGCGTTCACCCTTTAACCCTTCCACACAAGTCCATTAATCTCTGCTAGTTTGGTTGTTTGATGGTTATACTGTAGTTGATAAATACAAGTTGGTAAGTGCAATTATCCAGAAGCTGAGAAGTCAGGGCCACCCTCAGTGCAGTTATACGGAGGAGAGAGTCAAAGGTCATCCAGGACGAAAGGTAACACAATAAATATCACATTTAACACCAGGAAATTCTAAACGCCCGCCATAAATCCTTGGGAGGCTAAGCTGCAAGCTGTAGCTGGGTGGTGGCTGGTCTGGCTGGGTCCTGGCTGGGTCCTGGCTGGGTCCTGGCTGGGTCTGGCTGGGTCTGGCTGGGTCCTGGCTGGGTCTGGCTGGGTCCTGGCTGGGTCCTGGCTGGGTCCTGGCTGGGTCTGGCTGGGTCCTGGCTGGGTCTGGCTGGGTCCTGGCTGGGTCCTGGCTGGGTCCTGGCTGGGTCTGGCTGGGTCCTGGCTGGGTCCTGGCTGGGTCTGGCTGGGTCCTGGCTGGGTCCTGGCTGGGTCTGGCTGGGTCCTGGCTGGAGGCCCGGGAACAAAAAGAGGGTCAGAGGATACGCACGGGGAGGAAGGCGCACTCACCAGAACCATTCGCTCCCGAAACTGGGCACGGAGAACACGCCCCAGTGGATGAAGATGCCAAACTTGGCCTGGTCGAACCAAGCGGGCAGCTGTCGCGCGTCCAGGGACTCCCAGGTGGGGTCGAAGCGCGCGCCGCGGGCGGGACAGCGCGCCGGCAGCAGCAGCAGCAGCAGCAGCAGCGGGAGCAGGAGCCCGGGCAGCTCCGGGTTCAGCATGTCCCGCGCCCTCCGTCCCTCGGTCATGCCTGCACGCAGCGTCCTTCCGTGTCTCTGGCGAAGTATGCTCCGCCTCCGTCACCTGACCAAACTGTCCGAGAAAGGCACGTCCCGGCTCGGGTGGGAGTGGCCACTGTCCGAGCTGGAGGGGCTGCCCCAGGGGCGCTGCAGCTCCCTGGCGTAACTAAGGGGTTACTCCAGCGCCTACCCTGTGGCCGCTTAGCTAAGGCTCCACGTCAGTCTGTCCGATTGGGGGATGAGGCGGGTGGCAGAGGACGAATGTGGTTTGGGGACCTGTGGGAGCAACTGTCTCCTCCAGCGCACGACCGACCCTTACGAAAAACTCCCCAGAGGACAACGCAGCCAACCGGCTCGGTGAAACCGTGGACCCGGACGGGAACCTCAAGCCCGACATCCAGCCTCTTCCAGGCTGGAGGCACCTAACGCGACCCCGATCATTCTCAGCTTCTGGGTGTCTGAGGCTGCAGCAGGTGGAATTCCAGTTTCTAATTCAGGTCAGGGCCCCAGAATGTGCATTTCAGGTTCTCCGTCCCTTGTTGCTGGCTGAGGCGCCAGCTTCTCAGGACTGCATTAGAAACCGGGTGATCTGAGGGGGGAAAGCAGAGGGTGGATGTTTAAGAAATCTGCAGGCCCGGGGAAAGCAGCCGGACACGCAGAATAATCAGTCAAGGGCATCATCCAAGCTCATGTCTCCCCCTCTTATTCTTTCTGGGTTAAACCAGAACCCCCACCCCTTCTGCTCCTGCAGAACATCTCTCATCTTTAATGGGCCAGTTCAAAGTTCACCTCCCTCGCTGCTTTCTGTCACCACCTTCCCTCCCAGACTCTCTGCTGTGTGTTCCCGGTAACATCCTTTTCCAGCCTCTAAGACAGGATTCCAAAGACCATCCTGTAGGTAGGAGGATACACATCTCATTTTTCATTCCGCTGTAAACTTCCTGAGGGCAGGCACAGTGACCTTCATTTCCGTAGTCCCTGCATTTAAAGCAGAACCTAGCAGAGGGCAGCACTCAGGAACTGTCTGTTGACGTCCTTCATGAGCTAGAACTGGGCTTCTAATTATGAAGTCTTATGAGAGAACAAAGAGGATGAGGCCTTGCAGGAACTTTGACATCATCATTTGTGGCCCAACATTTGGATTTTTGCAGTTTAAAATCCGAGGCTACTTAATAGTGCATGATTCTGTACCGGGGACTTGAAAACTGCCTGCAGAACCAACGACTCTCTGTGCTGTCTGACTTTGGTTGGTAAGTCACCCCAAAGCTTTCCATGTACAAGCCTGAACCAGAACAGGGACAGGGACAAATGCTGATCATGTTACCCATTGTCCTCATCGCACCGCCCCACTTGCTGGCCACTGAGTCAGCTGCCGTTGAAAGCCCAGTTGCCCCCCCCCCCCCAATCAGAGAACAAATAATGTAAGTTTGTGGTGCTATTTCCCTTAGCGATCCATCTCTTTGCTATAACTTATACCTTTAAAAAAAAAAAACACCTATTTTCCCCTTCCCACCTCAGCATATGTATTCAGTTTATACTGTGGGCTACATCCCTGGATTGCAAATCATATATGGATGAAACTCTCAATTTCTTTTGGAATTTTTGTTAACAAAAGAAATGACACTAAGGAGCTGTTGCCCTCACTTTCTATTTCTGCAAAGATATGGGAGCATCAGCTGCTGCTATTGCCCCAAGGTATGAGGGCATTCAACCCCTTGATGCGGTGTTAATAATTCCCCAGGACCGAGTCTGCACCACAGTGACCCCCAGTTTTCCCAGATGGAGGATCTCCTAGAAGAGAGAGATCCGGGAATCCGTTGACCATGCATTCCCAATTGCAATAACCCCGTTTAGCGATAAAATAGGTGACCACTTTTGTTATCTAGTCTTTAATCCTAGAATGACCTAGGACCTCAGTGGCACATTTTAACAAAAACGCAGACCTTTCAGTCACTGTGCCTTGATGTCCCTTGAAACAGAGGTTTGTGTAATCAGTGCAAAGGACTGTCACAGCAGCAATACGATGGGAGCTCTCAGAGAGCTGGTCCACACGGCGAGGTGACCATGCAGTGGTGGGGCCCTGCTCCTCACCAAGCATTTTCCCTTGCAAACCCCACGTTTTGAAGGTTTCCATCTTCAAGACAAATGTATTTATCATTTAATAAATTATTTACGTGTTCTTGTATTTCAGTTAATTAGTGCTGATCGGACCTTATCTGCATAAGTGTCACTTAGATCATTTATCATTTCACCTGAAGGCAATGAGCATTTTTTAGACAGTAAGTACAACTTTATCATAAAACTAAAATTCCTGTAGGAAATACTGCAAATAGATGAAAGACCTTCCTTAGTGCCCTTGAGGACACAAGAGTCCTAGAATATCGCACGGGGACCCAGTGGTACAGGATCTGGAGTAAATGAGAAAGAGATTTATTTGGAAACGAAGACAGAGAAGAGCTTCCACTCCACATGTGCTGTTAAGTGACTAAAGGGATGCAATCTCCGAAGTATTTTGAAGCACAGTCGCTCTCGGAGAGCAGGATGCAGCGGATTACACTTCATATTTTATAAGGCAATGCATTACACACCTCCGGTCCTGGCACTTACAGCTCCTGCTCCGTGAGCAACGGACCACACACATTAAGGCTTCAATGTTGTACTTAAAGATTTTGACAGAGGATCCAGATACCTGAGAAATACGATTCCCCAGGTGGCTCATTTTGGGGGGCTTTGGGCCTCCTGTTCAAGGGCATCGTGAAATGCCAGGTGAAATTAAAAGGCCTTTGTCCCCATAGCAACAGGTGTTCGTCACTGTGAAGCCACCATGATCGGGCAGCCCCGTGCTGGGCAGTGGCAGGTACACGGGGTACTTACCACGGTTGCTGCTCCTGGTCTCCCGGGCAGAAGAGGGCACGAGGCCAGCCCTGCACAACCTCTCTGCTGCTGCCAGAGGAAGTCGCCACGCTGCCGTGTCCCCTCAGGGACATCGTTAGCTGCCGAGGTGGAGCTGACATCGGAGTGAGGCTCTCGAGGACACGTTCTGTATGTCGGGTGGGAGCTGGATCACTGCCATCCACCCGTCTCAGCAGTTCCCAGAAGTCCTCTCCAGTGGGCAGTGGGAGAAGTGAAACAGTCCCCCACAGCTGCCCAGCACCGCGTCTCTGTCCGGGAATGCAGAAGAACCGCGTTCAAAGCAAACAACCCACTTCGTTCTTTATATGGTAAATAAACCAGTTTATGGTAGAACAAGCAGATGACATGGGGGGAATAAAATCCTCCCTTTCTCTGGCCTGGGGGTGGGGAGCAGGAGGAGGAATGAAGGGAGGAGGCCACAGGGTTCCGGGAGGCAGGACAGCAGCACGGAGCGTGAGCACAGCCTCTGCAGCCAGACGCGATCCCACACTGGCTCCTTCGTCCACCACAGCGGGTGTGACCCCTGGGCCTCTGCATCTCTGGGCCTCAGCATCCCTGGGCCTCCGCTTCTGCACCTGCTGGATGCGCATGATAACAGCACATCATCCCCATAGGGTTGCTGTGCAATTAAGTCATGGAAAGCACATGTTAAGCCTCATCGAAGTGCGGACCAGTGCTATTATGTGGGTTAAGTAAATAAGGGGAGCCTCAGGGACGGGCATTTCTGTCTGCAGTCCCACAGAGGACTCCAGAGGAAGCCTCTTAGGCTGCCCGGCACTTTTCACTAGGTGAGCTGTGTTGTTAGGTGAAGGGAGAAGCTGATTTTTAGCCTTTCCCGATGACCTTGACACTCAGGTGATACACACAGGACCCCGAAGTAGCTGAGGCCCTAACAGGACATCTGGCCTAAGTGGTTCCCTGTCCAGACCTCTGTGCCAAGTATGTGGGGTTCGCAGCCACACTCAGGGGACTCCAGCATGCCACAGAGAGCTGGGGCAGGCCCCCGGATACCAGATCATGAATCACAGCAGCTCCAGGCTCATCTGGGAGCACCGACAGGACAAGTGTGGGCACCCCAGCACCTGGAGATGGTCTCCGGAGCCTCCCTGCCGCAGGCCCCAGCCACCTCAGGGAAAACGGGGGCCCAGGAAGCATCTGAGGCTCTGGGTGGTTTTACCCAAAAGAGATCCTAAATATTTGCTAAAGAGGCTGTTTAATTTACAGAAGCTGTCTACATTTAGTCCAGATTGCACAGTGAATGTTGTCCACCAGCCAACTGGTGTGTGTTGGGGAGGAGGGGCAGTAGGTATGCTGGTCTGCAAAGGCAAGCGGCCTGACTTTCAACACAACCAGGGAGCCACTTTCTCTCAGCAGGACAGGGGGTACCGCCAGGTAATTTGAGGACCCCCAGCTTCCAAATGTGCAACACATCTGCCTTCTCCTTCCCTCCTGCCCGGTGTCTTCACCGAAAAACCAATGATCTAATCAGTGCCCTGCGTGGAGGCCCAATTCAGGGAGGCCTGGGTCACACATACATCTCCCCCCAGCGCCCCTGGCTGAGGGGACAGCCTGCTCTGGGGGTCAGAGCGGAGAGGGAAATTTCCACAGCCCTGGATAGAAGGAGCCAGGCCCTTGGAGGAAGAGGTAGCAAAAAATAAAAAAGAATTTACAAGAGCATGGAGCTAATAAAAATTTTTAAAAGGTAACAGGAGAAACACAGAGTGCTTGAAATTGGAATCAGAAAGAAAGTACAGTGCAAAGAAAAGCAGACAATGTGCAAGAACAGGGATTGAAGAGAAGGAAGACAGGAGAGGCAAAGGGGGGTTCAAAAGGGGGCGCTGCGCATGAAGCAAGGCCACAGCCGGGGCACCACCCCGGGGAAGGAGAGGAGACGAGTTCCCGGTGCGTGAGTCAGGGTGCAGAAGGGTGGAGGAGGGCGTGGGGGATGGGGAAGGAGGTGATGCGGGCAGGAAATCCGTGGGTGAGCAGCAGGAGGCTGAGGAAGCAGTGAGAGGGAGTGGGTGGACCAGAAAGAGGGCAGTCCTCCCTCCAGACCCATTCTGGCCGCG